GAGACAGAGTGGGGAGCAAACAGGCAGATGGAAAAGTACACTGCTGAGGGGAGCAGCGGGCAAGACAGGAGACGTCTGCTACGCCATGTGGGTCAGCTCCAGGGCCGGGGATCAGATTCACAGTGAAGAGGCTGTGGCTAGTTTGCTGTGCTGCATCCTAAACTGTTGCGCCACCAGGGAAGGCCCAATTCTTGGTTATTGCATTAAATCTGGGGCCAGAAGAAGAGACCCAAGGAAGATTATAAAGTTGGAAAAAATTACCCCAAGCCCTTCTTGCTTCATTTTAAAGGCAGCTGCTTGGTACCTGATCCAGAGAGTTCGGACGGACCCAGAGAGTTCTCACTGCACCAATTGTGTATGTTTTCTGCAGGCCACAGCCTTCCACGTGGATACGCAGACACATGTGCACAAACACGAAGGGAGACTACAGTTTCCAGAGAGCAAATGATGTTTCTAGTAACAAACCACAGTCTGCCTCGAGGAAGCGTGACGAGGCTTAGACCCGAGAGGGAAGGCTCCGTGGGAAGTATTCCTGCCCCAGTCAGAGCCCAGCCTCCAGGCAGCACAGCATGCCCCAACAGGATGCCAGGCAGGCAAGAGGAGACGCCACTCCAAACCTCTCCGTTGTAATTTACTAAATCCATCTGGGGCTCCTTTGAGCCATTTTCTGGAAATGCCACATTTCAAGGGTCTCCCTGTTAGAAAAGGTCAGAGAGTTCACACAGGCCTTTCATGTTAAAGGAACTTGAAAGAAAGGAAAGGAAATGTATATTTTCGGCCTCAGCTGTGATTAAGGGGGCTCAGGTCATGAGAACATTTAGATGATTTACATGACGTTACATGAAGAGCCAATTAGCCTAACAACTTCCGAAAAATATCTAGCTCAAGAGCACCCATTTATTAGAGCACTTGGAATGTGCCAGGCGTCGGGCTAAGTTCTTTCTTAGGATGTATGATTCATCTCAACCAACGCGCATAGTGTAAGGTGGACTTGGGTGTGATTCCCAATTTACACAAGGACACAGAGGGTCAGTGATTTGTCTTGAGTCCCCCAGTGAGTAAACAGCAGGGCACAGGTGGGAATTAGGGCTGAGGAAATCCAAAGTCCTCTTTTGCTCTGAGGGGTAGCCCCTGAGAGTTCAGTTTTGCCTTGCACTCAGCATGAAGGCATTGCATCTCCACCTGGTTCATTTGCATAAAGACGAAGCCTCATTAAATCTCCATTTTTGACCTGAACTACATGAGTCCAGAAGACTCTGGGGCCCCCCCACAGTAGGGCCTATTCCCCAAACTCCCCACTCACCTCCAGAAAGGGAGGCAGCCACAGCAGATTCTTCTGACCACCCAGAGAAATAACCCAGAGCCTGTATGGGCTCTGAATCAGTGCCCAAAGCAGATGGTCTAGGGGGGCCCCAGGGGAGAGATGGTACAGGCTGAGGTCTGTGTCACTCAAGGGAGATGCTCTGGCCGCTCACACGCTAAAGGGCGTGTCACCCTACATAGACCAGTCAGGGAGATTCCCCAATCCTTCTGTGGTCCTTCCATGTGACATGAACCACCTGGAAAGTCAGGATTCTATTTGTGACAGTTCAAAGATCAGAAAGGATCATGGAATTATAGGGGCCATAATAGAACATCACACAGTCTGATAGTTGGTATGTGGGGTCAGGAGTCAGTTGGCCTGGGTTTGGAGTTCTGATACCCACACGTCTAAGCTGTGAGGCCTTGGGTAATTTATTCAACTTCTCTGAGTTCTCAGCATTCCCATTCATAAATGGAAATAATCGTTCCTATGCCATAGGGTTGGCATGAAGATTAAATAAGATAACATGTGTGCATCTCTTGACATGATGCCATGATGACAGAACCAGAGCTAGCCAGAAAAGGGGCTGCTATAGGGCTGCACCTACCTTTGAGGACAAGTTCAAGCTCCTTTTTACTCTCTAGCTCTCTAAACTCTCCAGAGCATTCTAAGCCCAGATGAAGTCGGCCTCTTCCAGGAGGCCAGGCTGACTATTACAGCCACATTATCCTCACCATATCTAAGCAACTCCTGTACACGGACTATAGACACTTATTCAGCAACAAACTCAATTCTTAATTCCTCAGCTTCTCCAATGCGATTACCTCCTAGAGGTACCTCCTGGAGGGCAGAACCCCTCCTCTATCTGCTTCTCTCCATGGATCATGCCCACCTCCCAGGGTTAGGTACACAGTAGGTGTTCCGTCAAGGCTTCAGGCTAATTTCAGTGCGACTGTGGATGTCTGTGACTCAGCTTGTCTCTCCCCTGGTTCTACCCAGTGGGGCCTGTCCCATAGTTGGAGTCACAATCCCATAGGGCAGTGGTTTCCAGACTTTGGGATTTTGCAGCCCTGTAAGATGTCCAAAGAAATATGGGGTGGGAGGGGGAAAGGTTAGCGAGTAGACAAGGTTTTCTTTAGCTAAATAAAGATTTCAGAAATTATATCTGTTCTCATGTGCATCAATATAAAGCTGGACCAAGGAGATGCAATATTTCCACACCATGGAATATTACTCAGCCATAAGACAGTAAGCAGCCATTTTCAGCAGAATGAAGGGAATTTGAGAGAATGATGTTTAGAAATGCAAATCAGCACAGTAAAGACAAATAGTGAACATTTACAGAGTAGATGATTTGATAAAGTAAAATAGCTAGACTAGTAAACATTAATAAACACTGCAAGAACTCTGAGACTAAGAGGGAGGGAGAAGGGAAAAAGATAAAGGGCTATTTTTATGGTGGTGGGAGAAAAACAAGAAAAATAAATAAAATAAAAACCTGTAGGTAACTTTTTTCCCCTTTGTAACAGCTAACAGTTTCAACAAATATGTTTGAGGATCTAATATGGGGGGAAATGTTTTGTTTTTGTTTTTTTAAAAAAGAAATTAATACGACAGTTTCTTTTTAAAAACCTGGTGGTAAACAAAGTTCCTAAGTCACACATACATATTTATATATAATCACATTCTATCTGGACATCAATCAGCAAAATGTAAAACAAAAGAAAGAAAGAAAAGAAAGTGCAGGTTCTAATCCAGTGAGTCTGGAGCAGTGCCTGATATGCCAAATTTCTCTAAGAAAAAAAAAATCTATTCACACCATCGTTTTAGTGAAAAGTTGTTTTTCACACCAATAAAGCAAAAAGTTCATAATTTCTGATTAAAGGCTAACCACTTTAAAATGAAAAATTTAGCCTTAATGAGAAAACAAACAAACCACTTCATGCTTGCCCTGGCTCTTCTCCTTTCTCCATGGGCTGGATAAAATTTCAGCTCCCACTGGCCTGAGTCCACTAGCATTTCATGGGTCTGGGTACCTATGTTCTGAGGAAACTACTTCTAAGCTGGGGTAACCCTCAACCCAAGAGAACCCCCTAGGCCTTTGGGTTAGGCAGAGCCTGTATTCCAGTTCACCATTCCCAGAGGAGGCTCACCCCAAAGCTAGATGTTACAAACTCCGGGGCTGAGGTGGGAGAGGAGGTGGAATCCTTTTCCGCTCACCTCCGGACTGGGCAGCGTCTGGCTGGAGTCCCTGAAGGGTTTGAGGTGACACTCTCCCTGGGAAAGGAGAATGGGGGACGGAAAGGGCACGGTCTTCCCCACACCTCCATAGCTATGCTGAACACTTTTGCCCGACCACCCTCCAGCTCCTAGAAAGGAGGAAACGTGAGCAATCCGGTCCTGAAGTGGGGGGCCGAGGCGCCCCGCTGGGCGGGAGCAGATAGGATCTGAACGAGGAGAAGGACCGCCCTGGCTCTTTGATCCGCGGCCAGCCAGGCTGGGCCTGGACCCGGAGGGGCGGCGCAGCCCTCTTCCGGCCTGGCTTTGGTGTGGCTGCCAGGGGTCCTGTGGGGGCTCGGAGCTGGAGAGGCGTCCAACACCCCCGCTCTTCCCAATACCCTCTGCCCCAGTCGCCCTCAGGACAGGTGGGAACGTCCACACTGGCTCCAACACAGAAATTTTAGGAGGGTGACTTTTACTGTACCGGGGTCCCAAAGGGCCGGCGTCTTTCCTAGATGCAGCGGCCGAGCCAGCGTGCAGGGGAGGCCCGCGTCGACAGGGCTCGGGCCTGGCGGATGGACGCTGTGGGAGCTGCGGCGCTCGTCCCGGTGCTCCTCCTGCTTGAGGCCCGCCTGCTCCAGGTCCTGGTCCTGGGCTTCGTTGCCCGTCGGATTTCCTGGGTTGTTACTTCAGGTGACCCCCGCCCCCCCAAACTTGGTGGTTCCAGGATCCATGCGGCTGCCCAGAGCCTAGTAACCCCCTGGCCAGCTGTGGCTCTAGGCATGGAACTGGGCTGGGAGAGTCGTGGGGAAGGTTGGGGGGCAGGTGGAGGACAGGCATAGGGAGTCCTCCGGGTCCTTTCTGCTGTCTGTCCATGCCTCGTAGCCAGCACATGGCTGAGGCGCCCCTCACAGATGTTTGACTTCCGAGCCCTCCCCTACCACAGGCGCTCAATGAATGTGTGAGGGGGCTAAGCGTGTGTTCACGCAGCGGCGTGCGGGCGGCCTGGCAGATGGTTCCAGAGTGGAGCATGGAGTGGAGAGTGGGGCTTTTAAGTCTTAACCCTGCCGGTCGCCTCAAGCCGGTGCTAGGAGCACAGGCCCCAAGTTCTAGAAAGTTCACAGCTCCAAACACGGGACGCAGTGGGCTCAGGACACAAACGCAGTTAACACCTGGGACCGTGTTCCAAGCTACGTCAAGCCGCAGGGGTCCAGGGCACCCGCACCCTCCGCCGCCGAGGTGGAAACCCCGTCCACCCCGGCGCGGGGCGGGTGATGCGCTCCAGGCTCATCCCAAGCCTCTCTCAGGTCACGCCGCAGCGAGCGAGCCCTTTAAGACTGTGCGGATTGGGCGCGTCGCGGCCGCTCCCGGGGGAGGGGCGGGGCTATTTGGCTCCGCCCTCCGGCTGGGCCCGCCCCCGGCGTCCCCGTCCCGCCCCCGGCACTAGCCGGCGGCCCCTTTGATGTTGCGACCGGCCAGCTCCCGAAGCTGCTCTGCCTGGCGCCCGCGCCCCGCGCCCATAGCCCGCCCAGGCGGAGTCAGCCCGCGCTCCGCCCGCTGCGCTCCGGGCTCGGAGGTCCGGACTCCGGGCTCGCCGCCTCCCGGGCCGGCTCCGCGTCCAGCACTCCCGCGCTCCGCGCCCCCACGGGCGGAGCGCACCATGCCTCAGCTGGACTCCGGCGGGGGCGGCGCGGGTGGCGGCGACGATCTCGGGGCGCCCGATGAGCTGCTGGCCTTCCAGGACGAGGGCGAGGAACAGGACGACAAGAGCCGCGACAGCGCCGCGGGCCCTGAGCGCGACCTGGCCGAGCTCAAGTCGTCTCTCGTCAATGAGTCCGAGGGCGCGGCCGGCGGCGCTGGGGTCCCGGGGGCAGGCGCCGGGGCCCGCGGCGAGGCCGAGGTCGGGGCCGAGGTGAGCGCCGGCCTTCGCCCTGCTCCTCCCCCGTGGCCGCGGAGCTCCCTTGTCCCTGGCTCTCGGTTTGCGCTGACCCTTCTTTCCTTCCCGTGGCCCATCCCGGGGTCCCTATCTCTTAGATTCCGTCCTGTCCCGAACCCCGAGCCCCTAACTGCCCCAGTGTCCCTCAAGGCCCCTCTGGATCTCCCCGCAGGCTCTCGGGCGGGAACACACTTCGCAGAGACTTTTCCCGGACAAACTTCCAGAGTCTCTAGAAGATGGTGAGTTTCTACACGGTCCGGATCCCCTCCTCCCGCTAAAGCCCCGGCCACCGTGGGAGAAAGGGGCTGCTGAAAACCTGAGGGTGCGGAGGGGGTGCCTCCCCCAACTGCTGCTCAAGGGAGGCGGTAAAAAAAAAAAACCCGGGAGGGTGGGGGGAGTGGGGGGCGGGTTTCCCGGGCGCCGCTAGGCTCGAGTCACTTCCGGTGCCCTGACCTTTATAGGAGTAAACAGACCCCCACCATCTCCACCTCCCCTGCTGCCCAGGTGATTGACTAATCCCCTGTCTTGAGAAAGCGTTAGCCTAGGTTCCACTGCCCTCCGGATTGGGGGGTCAAGCAGGGGCCGCCTAAGGGAGGTCTGAACTCGGAGTCCTGAGTCAAAGCTTGCACTGTGGGCACCCCCAGTCCATACCTTCTCAAGCCACGAAATTGAAGACTTCTTGGCAATTCTTATTTTTTCTCTGGAGCGCAGTCTTCAGCCCGAGCTTCCTGGGCTGGGGATTCTGACCCAGCTGTGGTTTTTCCAGGCCTGAAGGCCCCGGAGTGCGCCAGCGGCATGTACAAAGACGCCGTCTACTCAGCTTTCAATCTGGTCATGCACTACCCACCCCACTCGGGAGCAGGGCAGCACCCCCAACCGCAGCCCCCTCTGGTAAGTGGCCCCAGCAGCCAAGCCTACCTTCTGCCTGCTACTTTCTTGACCAGGTATGTGGGGTGAATTTTGCCCAGAACAGAATAGATCCATGAGGACTCTTCTAGTTTCTTTTCCCATACACACCCAATGGGATCTGGACCAAAAGGAGGACTCTGCTGAAAGGAGGTCTGTCCTGGATACCCCCTCCCTTCTAAGCTTTTGGCCTTTGTCTTCCCAGCTTGCTCACAAGCAGGTGCAGGCTGGGTCCTGGTGCTGTGCAGTGCTGGGGTGGGGTCTGTTTAGGGAGCTTTGGCTCTCAGTCCCCTTCTCCGCTAGTGAGGGTGGTAGGTGCAGTGTGGTCTGAATTGGTGAGCTTTGCTCTCGACTTCTCCCACTGAGCCCCAGACCTCCATGCTAGGTATGGGCAAAAAGCTGGTCAGCTTCAGAGCTCCTGGTTGTGCAGGAGAAGCATGTCCCACTTGTGGATAACGTCAGCACCCTTGCCAGAGACCATGAACACTATGTGTGGAAAGTGGGGTTTTGTGAAGCTGGCTGGGTCTCAGATGCACCGCACCTGGAAGGAAGGCTTTGCAGAGGTGTTTCAGATCAGTAGTGTGGGTAAGAAGACTGTTTAATGAATTCGAAAGCTGAATGTTGAAGTACCAGTGCTTTGAAGAGTTCATGATCATTCCCATGCTTTTCTGCCCATTGGTGCAGATGACTTAGAGTGTGCAAAGCCTGTTCTGAGTGCTTTGGAGCAGTAAAACTGCACTTGGAGTGGGAAAGTCATATTAGTCTTGCAGATTGTCCTCCGTTGGCCCAAGTTGGGAGCGAGGTTAGAGCTCCCCATAGTACATGAAAGGTTTGGGGAACTCTGGTGGGTGGTGTTAGGTACAAATGCAAACCCAGCACACAGTTGGGGTCAGCAGGTGGGAGGCTCACGTGGCTGGTGGTGGGGTCACTGGGAGGGAGAAGGGTGAGTGCTGAGCTGTTTGAAATCAGGAGTGAGGAGGAGGGTTGGTTTTGAGAGTAGTTTCATGCCAAAGCTGGTGGGAGGTGAGAAGACAGAATGAAGTTTCTCTCCAGAAACGGGGATATAGAAACTCGTATATGTCAGACTGTAGAAATAAGCTCCTTCCTCTTCGGACCCCTACTGCCTCATCTGTAAAATGAGCATGTGACTAAGCGGTCTGTTTGCTTCAAGGTGGCCGACTACCTTCCTTCTAAATCGGTGATGAGGGGGCTTGCTGCCACCCCATGTGGCAGTTCTCCCCAGAGACCTCCCACTCTGTGTGAGCAGTTGCTTAACCAGCATGCTTTGGGGTTCCCTGCAAGGTGTAAACCCTTAGAGCTGGGGTCATATTGATTTAACACAGCCACACCACTGGCAGGTGAGGTGTTTGCATGGGGGCTGGGTCACTGACATACTGACGGAAGGCCTAGGCCCAAGGATGGTCCTAGCAGGCAGACTGTTCCAGCCTCATGTGACTCTACAGCAGTGCTAGGAAAAAGCAGTGTTTCTGAGCTGCTTTCACAGTGTGGGCAAGCGGTGAGCGTGCTGGGGTGCAGGGGCCTTGTTTTCTAGAAGGGTGTGGTGAGGGGACCATTTGGTGGTGTCCTTTAGCTCACACTGGTCAGAGTAGGCAGCTGGCTCTCTGCAGCACGATTGGGGCAGGAGGGGCAGACACAACACCACTCACCAGCTTTATCAACTTCAGGATCTTTCTCAGGCTATCGAAGATGCATTTCTTTCTGTCTTTTTTTTTTTTTCTAATTGAGGTAACTTTGGTTTATGAAGATGCAGTTCTCTGTCACACCCTTCCTATAGGGGCAAGTCGCCCTTCTCCCCGCCCAGTACAAGCTCTGGCACTGGTTTTCTGTGTCCTGACCACAGCCACGCGATAGGGCTGGGGACAGGGACGGAGGCATAGGCCTAAGTTGAGGTGGCACTGGGTATGGAAGGTGTATTTGAATGTAGAGAGGCTCCTTTAAGCCAGCCTGATAATTACAAATAGCATGCAAGAATAGCTGTTTGGGTTACTTGCAGAGTTGTGTGGACATTTAAAATGTGACTGGGTTTTAAAAAGCAAAACCCATGTTTTGGGAGCACATTTATCATGGCATTCAAGGTTCATGGATCTGGAGTCAGAAAAGATACTCTTGACAGTGGGTTGGGAGTCCCTTGCAGGGACCTTGAGGAAAAGCAGCCTTTGGAGATTTTTTCCCCAAAGCTATGACTCCTGTGCCTGTCGGGGGATAGATGACAGGCCGTCCAGCTCCTGCCAGGGGCCTTAGAACTGCTCCCCTCACCCTTTGTCCCACCCTCTCTGAAAGAATCCAAATGGTCAACAGTTGTGCTGAAGAGCTCAAGGCCCGTCAATTTGACCTCCCGCGAGTGGGGGGACTGTGCTGGGCACCTACCTGCCCATGTGGGTGGAATGCCCACATGGCTCTCACATTGAATACCTCAAAATAGGCTGATTCAAAACTTAAATGAGCAGTGAGCCAAGTGACCTCCTCATGGCCTGCCTAAAGGAGGCAAAAGAAGATATTTCTCTCCAAAAAAAAAAAAAAAAAATTGCTCCTTTATGGTACTTGGCTTCTTGCAAACTATTTTGGGATGGGTGGATCAGGGCAAAGCTTATTTCATGGCTGACATTTGTCAGCAGCTAATGTAGACTTGTGGAGTGTGACTGGCCTGGACCACTAGCCACTACTTGTCTTTGTTCTCTTGTCTATTCTGAGACCTGGAGGCAGTGGTCCTGGGCCAGACTTTGAGGCAATTCGGGGATGAGTATGCTTTGCTCCTTTGGAAAACTCAAATCCATAAAAGCGTGAGACTGACAGCCTGGTGCAAAGCCTCATCTCAAAAAGGATAGGAGATCACATTGTTCTTGTGACCGCTGCTCTAGGCTCTGCTTGGAGCCTTTTGCCATTTAGATGAACTGTCCGGAATGGGCAAGTCCATAAAGACAGAAAGCAGATGGGCGGTAGCCAGGGGGAGAGAGAAAAGAGGGGATAGGAGAGTGGTCGTTAATGGGTATGGGGCATTTTAGGGGGGTGATGGATATGTTCTGGAATTAGATAGTGGTGACAGTTACACAAACTTGTGACTAAGAACCACTGAGCTGTGGACTGTAAAATGGTAAATTTTATGGTATGGGAATTACCATACCATACTTCAATTTAAAAAAAAAGGAAAAAGCTGAGCCTTTTGGCTTTTGCAGGGACTTGGGCTGTTTCACTGGGCTTAATGTCCACAACCACCCTGGTGCCTAGACATGCCCCAAAACCAGTCAGGCCCAGACGCCAGTGGGGAGGTGTCCAATTGAGGTAGTGAACTGTTGCTTGGGCTTCTGACCCTCAAGCCCATGTTCCCTGACTCCCAGGTTTGAAGTCCAGGTGAGGGTGTGGAAACCAGGCCTGGGGGAGCAGGAGGTGAGGATGTAAGTAAGACTCAGAGGAAGGAAGTGCTGCTGACGTGTGGCCAGCCTGTCTGGGAGCTCTGCAGAAATGCATTTACCCAGCCCTCCACACCCTTCAGAGGGAAACAGACCTCGCTGGTGGTGGGAGGTCGAGGGGGGTTAGTGATGGCTGATCATCAGCCCTGTTTGGATTGACGCTTATTAGGAGGGAGTCTGGCACCTAGACGGCTCAGAAGCAGTGTCTGCCTCTGGGAGTGCCTGGCTAAGCAGAGGAGACAGATGAATAGACACAAACCAGGCCCTGGCCGGAGGAGTGCTGTCACAACAGGCCCGGGTGGGGGAGTCCTGGGCAGAGCTGGCTTGGCTGGGCTGTGCAGCAGGCTCCACTGAGCAGCCTCCTGAAGGTTCAGAGATGTCTGACAGATGAAGACAAAGAAGGGATTAGCAGGCACCCAGGCTCCTCTTTAAGCGCCCTAGATCTTCCACTTCTCCACTCCAGTCACCATCCCTCACGCAGAGCAGTAACAGCCTCCTGCAGGGTCCCCCTGCCACTACCCTAACCCACAATCTGGGCACCACATAGCAGCCAAAGGGGTCCTTTAAAAACATAAATCAGATCACATCTCTGGCCTGATTAAGCCCTGCAACGACTTCGCATTGCTCTTGAAGTAAAGTCCAAACCACTCACCACAGCCCGAGTGCCTGGGTGGCCAGCCCCTGCAATGCCCCTCCTCATCTGCGCCATACTTTCTCTCCCTGAGTTGCAGTCAGCTCAGCGTCCTGGGGTGTCTTACAAACATCACGTCCCTCCCCTTTATATTCTTCCCTCAGCTTGGGATACGCTTCCCCACTTCTTCACACAGCTGCTTCTCCTCAGACCTCATACAGGGCGAAATTCAGGTGTCACTTCCTCAGGGGGCCCTTCTTGGCCACCTAGTGGGACCCTCCCTCTTCGCCCGGCCTGTTTACCCTGCGCACCCTGGCAGCTCTGCAGGCCAAGGTGGTGGGCACTGCTTTATGATGCACTCGACATGCTTAAGCCGAAGTCAGCCCATTTGTCTGTCAGAAGTGTGTGAGCCTCCATTTCCTCATCTGCACAGTGGCGGTGGTGAGCCCTCCTGCCAGAGCTGGAGTGCGGGTTGGAGGCCACGTGCCAGGGAGGTGCCGGCAGGATCTGCGCTCCAGACGGGCAAGCAGCCTTCATCCTTGATTGATCTCTGATGTCCTGGCTTCTCTCTCTGGACAGAAAGCGACAGGCCCCATGTGGACTCCCACTTTGAGGCCCTTATCTCCACTTGGGCCACAGTGGCATGGAGGTCAGGGATCCCCTTACATCCCTACTCAACCAGGATTCCTAGGACCATGACAGGAGCCATAGTTACACTTTCCTGAGAATACTCCCTTACCACCCCAAAGACTTATCTAGAATGTGTCCCAGTCTGCATCTTAGAAACTCTTTACACAAGATTTTAGGGGCACCTAAGCTATTTTGTAAGAAAAAAAAACAAAAAGACTGCCATGGTCATTAGTCACTGAACCACTGTCAGGCCCTTTCTCACAGGGCCATGCCTGCACATACCCCTTGTTCCCTGG